ACTGTTCAACCATTTGAGATTGTTATATTGCTGCATGTCAGCTGACAACAGATAATGGGATCCAGACTAGAAAAAGACACGGATCAAGAGACACTTTTGAGACTGCGGGATAAGGACCTCATTATACTGTAAGTACATCATAGATTGAAATTCTACCTGAATGTTAAAAAACACTGAATATACACCTCAAAAGTTGAATACGGGTGCGAAGACATGGGGGGAGGGATCACGACAGCTGTCAACAGTGTTGAGGGGGGATCACTTCGGTGATATAACATTTAAAGGGGGGATCGGCTAAATTTCGCCGTGTTCAGCCCAAAATACTCCGCCCCCCCCCCCCCCGGCGATAAATAATGACCGGTCCCTAAAGTTCCTCTATAATTCACCACCCCCTTGTAAAGATACCCCACCACCTGTCTAGCTACCATCCGCGGGTTTTTTTTACCGACCCTTCTCTCCGTAGATTCCCTGTCCTGGGTTTCTACTATTTTTAATGTTTATACACGTGACTTACTTTGATTTTCCACTGTATGTAGGCGTCTTCAAATCCCATCTGAAATAATACACAAAGACATCTAAATACCTCATAGATATCTAGACAAAGTTTATAAGTTGTCTTTCTTCGCAACATAGTTTATACAGATTGACTTGAGAGCGCACAAGTATTTTACAAGTATTCTCACCGAAATCTACTGATACTAGAGAAACTAAGGCGAATCTTGCTTCTCTCAACAACACTGAAGAGACGAGTCATTCCAAAAGGCTGTTTGTCAACCTATTTGTTACTTTTTTTTGCGTGCGTGACAGACTAAGTTGTTGCGTGACGGATCGATTTAGTCTGCGCGACAGATTGATAAACGTTTTAGGTTTGCGTGACGAATCGGACAATGAATACAATTCTCTGGTCTTAGTCATACCTTTTGTCACTGGGATCTATTCCACAATAGAGTATCGACTTCATGTGGAAATGCTGTCTGAAGAATACCCTGCAAACGAAGTACACGCAACATTATTAATTTTTGTCATTTCTGAGGCAAACGATATAGTATGTGACTAAACGTCTTCATGTCACGCAATGATGATGTATTCTAGCAAGTCTTACTTTCGTTCGTTATCAGTCACAGTCATTCCTTGTGGTGTGACCTTAAAGCTGACAGTAGTGAATTTCTTCGCCGCCTCTTCAGTTGATAGTTGTTCCACAGTTCGCTGTATTGCGCTTGGTCCAGTGAGCATTTCAACCTCACAGCGGCCGAGATACATGAGTGAACCAACTACAAGACAGAAAAAAGTCCCCAGTAAGTACAATTTCAAGCATGCAATAGTTATTCTGGGTTTAGCATACGATCTTACAACTTTGGTCATCTTCAGAAGTACGCGAAAATCGTCGTAGCTAATTGGAATATCTTGGTACTTGGGAAATGTTCGGAAAGAAATCGGACCGTTTCCGGAGACGATATAACGCAGAGCTTGCAGAACAGATTTCTCAGAATGTTCCACGAGACAAACGGATATTGAAGGATTCTATTGCCTTTGTAAAAAAAATAATTGGTATTACCTGCGCCCTTAGGCCAGGACTGACCGTCTTCTTTATCAGTAGACTGATCCTTGTCCTCTGACAGGAGGTCTGAAAAAAAGAAGAAAAAAAAGAATTTCCAAGATTGACACGAGCCTGAAGATTATTTGAACAACAACTAAATTCCTTTTCAAAGAATAAATAGAAATTCGAGCGCGTAGCTCTTGAGAATATGATATTTGATCACTGAAAATCAACTTACCGTGAGAAGGCATGGCCAGTCTGATTGGTAATGCCAAAGGCGTGATAGAATGCTGATAAACGAAAGCAGCCAAACTCCCTAAACAAACAAACAAAGAGAATATTATTAACATCAAAGAAAGTTATGTGCGCTCTAACGCGAGGAATTTCAGTCTTAATCAGATTTTTAACCCTTCAAATACTATGAAATCGCAGTTCAAGTCCATCACAAGAACAAACAATACGGCATTAAGTGTCTCTAAAAGCGAACTTATACGAGTTCCTTTAACTTTCCGCGAGTATTCCAAAAGTCCTTTCCAACATTACTATTTTTCCGGTTTCCTCGCCCGCAAGATACTTCATTCTTCGCAGGCTCGCTAGAAGAGCGACGTGCGCTCGTTTATTAGAAGCAAGCATTTGGCGGCCAAAATTCCATCAAACAAGTGAGTTGTGTTGAATCAGAACTTACCAAACACGGGTTCATCGTTGTAACCTTTCAGTCGGACGCCCTTCTTAGTCGTCTCGATCAGGAAATGTCGCACAAGTTCATTATCAAGATCAACTTTAGCTGCAAAAGAAAACAACACGCTGAGGTTAACCCTGGTTGTCTAAGACTTTGGCTGCTTTCTACTTTCCTGTATGATCATGGAAACAGAAAGTAATCAATGAAGAGACCCAGTGGAAGTGCAAAATTAACGGGCTAATTGAGCTATACGTATAAGGAACCAAGAGGGAGTAGTCAACTAAGAGAACCAGTCGAGGTACAGAATTAAAGGCCTAATTGAGCTACACGAATAGGGAACCAACAGGAAGTAGTCAACTAAGAGAACCAGAAGAGGTACAAAATTAAGGGACTAATTGAGCTACACGAATAAGGAGCCAGTTGAGGTACACATTGAAAGGGCCAAAACAAGTGACAACAGAGGTCCACAAGAGAGGGGCCAGTGAGGCACACAATTAAGGGAAACACTCTCAGGGCAACGAAAATGTAGAACTTACTCAGATCGCCTTGTAGTCCCTGTAGCACATGCGCAGGCGGCACCGCTACCTTGACAGCCAAACCAAAGGCTCCTGGGAACGATTGACTATCCCGGATGATAAAAGAGCCTGGTTCCGAGTCTTTAAGAATATCGTTAGCTGCAAGCAAAAGAGGAAGACCACAACTTTGTTAACCACATACTCTGCCTTGAATGAACGGATAGCTTGTTGAAATGTTGGAAACGTTTGTTAAACTCAAGTCACTCAGCTTCTGAGCAAGTAACGCGAAAGACAACAAGTGAAGAGGAAGTCGTACCGTCATTTCTTGTAATGGTGGGTTTATACCAAAATGAAGACGTGTCTCGGTCGAATTTCAGTCCTGGAATCTTTGGGCTGTCAGGAAGAAAAACATCTGAAAAATAAACATAAAAGACAATATTAATTCAGCGGCGGCCCTTACAATATAAATATACGGTAAAATAAGACGGCCAAAGGCGTACAGGCGTGTTTAAATGCGATCTCGCGCGTGTTAGCAGCATGTCCGCAAACATGCGTGGATTGCGCGATCTCGCGTTCGTTGACAGCATTGTTGCGAACAGGCGTGGATTGGTCAAGTCTAAGTACGCGTGCACGGGTAGACGATACTACTTACTGTCGCCCGACGAGCCAGAGGATACGCTAGTTGTAGACCCGTATCCTTTATCCGAGTGAGGATGAGATTTCTTTCTTTGAGTCGCATTTTCAAAGGTACCAGATCCCTCCGACAATACAGGACTCCTGTAACTACTATCCAGTCCTGCGCTCTTGAAACTCTGCGGAGTACTGGAGCGACTGAGCTGGGCTGGCTGTGGGACGCTGGCGTTGTGAAAAGTAAACAAAAGAAGTCGTGTGAGAGTGACCGCTCTTAAAATCTATGAATACAAAGACATTTTAATATCTGTTTACCTAATATCAGTGATCTCCGATAGAATGTCCTTGATGGCCTCCACGTCATCTGCTGATGTCTTAGCCTGGATCTGCTCCACGCTGCCCTCCACCCTCGGGGTGTCAATCGGGCTAATCCTCTCTAGGGTAGTATGAGTCTCAGTTGAGACGCCACTTGCAGGACTATGAAGTAAACAAGCAACATTGTAAATGTAACAGATAAAGAAAATTCCCCCTAACACTGTAAACACAATGTCAAGCAAATAAGACATGAGAATATTAGAAATTAGCAGGACTGACATAGGAAATAAATAAGTAGAAAATATATACATATAAAAATAACTTTTTTATATGTTAAATTTATTAAGCACTGTTGTGCTAAATGGGGACAATGTAAATAAATAATATAAATAAGTATTTCAAATAGAACATAGTCTGTTTTAAACAATCCCAACTGGTGGAAGGCTGACCAGTTGGCTATTTACACAACGCAGTCGAGGAGTTGAACTCGGGACTACCGAGAGGGAATACTGCCCTTTTTAGTTTGCAAAATGGTCGATACAAGGATAAAACACATAAGCCAACGTTTCATCACTTTTCCACACAAGGAGAAGAAAGTTTAACATCACAACACGCAGCAAGATTTTAACGGAAATTTGAGATGTTTTGAAATGCGATAAAACACTCGTCACACGCAAGGACAAAACGGAGAAATAAGATGGTAAAAATCTATGCTATTTAAGATCATACACACCACTGTTATGTGCAGTTATGGTATCCTTTGTTTCAGTGTTGATAATTTGTAATCAGTTTGGGAAGTAGAAAACATTTTCTATGGGTAGATAAGCTTGCACTTCAGTTTAGAATCATAACGTGGCAAAACTATCGGTATAATTCTGCTGTATCGCAACCTCGTCAGTTATGTACCTCAGAAAAAGTAAACGAAGTTTTCTCCGATATCTCTTCTTAGTATTTGGCCGAAAACGAGCGGTCAAAACGCATAATCGCACTCGTTCAAGTTAAAAGGTTTCTAATATTGTTGTTAAAGTGGCGTGACATTGGTACAAATCGAATCATGATTATGAAAGAGTTGTACGACTTACCAGATTAAGAGAAATGACTTCATGGTCGGACGCAATGTTCAGTGAAATCAGAGATGGAGAAATGAGAAGTAAAAAGCATAAAACAACTTCCGTACGGGGGCGAAACAATATCAGGTTTTGAAACAAAAACAAAATACTGCAAAACACGGGAAAATTTTCTAGAGTGGGGCGCAATACATGACATTCTTAAGAGGAAGCGGAAGTGCGTAAGATCTGAAAAATTTTTTCAAGTGTTTCCATCAGGCTCCACCCGCTAGTTAGCACGCGTGGACAATTGCGGTGTTTTGTGAATTATTCCTACATTCAAATAAGACCTTCCTCGAGGGTGCAAGCTATTGCTAGTTGCGTCGATTCTTCTGGTAATGCTACGGCAGTTTTGTGACCGTGAGATTGCGCAAGACTGCTGGTGCGCGGTCTATGATTAGCGTAGAAGACATTCCTGCTATGTAAAGGGCTGTAGCCGTTTAAACAGTGGTTAGACGTAGCGGATTCTGGTCAAGATATCACGCGCCTACATCAGTGCGGCATTAAATTTTTGCGGGAGGTTATAAAGTTCGCGGATTAAAGCGATGTGGAGAAACTGGGTTTTTTTTGTCGCTATCCAGGGTTTAATAATAGTCTGTTTTGATTCGGTTCATTACTCTTGTGATCAACCATAAATAAGGAGCGATAACAACTGAACCGTTTGATGAATATTTAGATCATAACATCCTTGTCTGTTTTATTGGAGTTATTACTGTCGTTTTCCTTTCTGTAGCAGTAGTCTTGATGTATCTTAAGAGTGGAGCTAATTTTCGCGGCATTTCTTTGCGGGAACGTTTTTTGCGGGTAATACCTTGGGTGTCAGAGGGGTTTTTTTCGTGGCGAGACCGCTATCAGTGAGCGGCGAAGCAGCGACAGGGTATGCGGTTTATGAAGAAAACGCAAAAATTGCCCAAATTAGAACCCGCAAAATTCTTTTTATGCTAATAACAACTGAATTACATAAATTACTATTAAAATAACACGTTAATTTGAACTTCTCTTCGTCTTTATAGCAACAAGAATATTTTGATTTTTCTCAAAGGACTTTCCCTGAGTAATGACGTGTGTAAGAACGTGTTTCAAGACCATTTCCTTAACCCATGGAGCTTTCCATTGGCCATATACCGAGAGCCTCAGACCGGAATAAGAATATATTGCGAATTATTCCCGAACCGTTCCAACCGCAACTCAATATTCTATTCCAAGAAAAGCCCAAGTCCCGGATTCAACGCCAGCAGCCGCAATTTCCATTTGTTGTTTTGCAAAAAGGCGCGACACAACGAGGAAGTGACGTCATTATTCTGGAGTTTTCCCAGCATTCGGCTCCCGAGTGGAATGCGGAAGTCGATTTGATAGCGACTCCATCGAGCAAAGATTGGATTATTCCGTTTACTGTTAGCCCGCAATATAATCAATTGAACGCACTCCCATTCAAAAGTAGAGAGATCAACCAAACTGCATGGTTGCCATAGCGACGCAAAGCATGCACAGACACCAAAACAATACCTGGGCTTCTCCTTTGACTCTTGAGCGGACCGGATGTCTTCCAACCTCGCATAACCCGCTTCTTCGTCTTCCCGAGCTTCCTGTGCATTCACTGGAGTACTTTCAAGAAGATTGCTGGAGCTTGATTGCTGGCTCACGAAGTCATTCCCAGCCTCAGCGTCGTGGCTTACTGTCGTGCTTGACATCGGGTTAAACCGGTTTGACGAGAGGCCACCTACAGGCGTGGAGACTGATGACGAGCTGACGATGGACTCGCCAAATGCAGAGTCCGTGTGGCCATCACTGCTGCTGGAGTCAGAGACTAACGTTAGCAGGTAGGAGGGTATGGAACGACAAGAGCAGAAAGAAGTAACATGGGGTGATGAAAAAGTATGCGGGAAGGAGGACGGCATAGAGGGCAGGAAGAGACGATCCAATGGAGCGTAGAGAAGTCGCATGAAGGAGCAATATCGAGTAGGGCGTAGCAAGGAGGAAGAGCGGAATGGCATGGGGGAGGACCTAGTGCAAAGTTGGGAGACAAAGAAAACAGAATGGAATCAAGTGAGAAAGGGTACGGTTGCGACGGGTGGTAGTTTGTCGTAATGACAAAATTTAAGACAATTCATTGAACGCGAAAATCGTATTTATGAGACACGACTCGCATCTCTAATGAGTGGTTATGCATCATGCACCATGGAACTTGCAACCGAATCTTAGTACTCTCTCCCGTGCGGGGAAGGAAAAGGAAACCGCAACGAAAAATGTCTACTCTCTTAAACCAGATACCTGGCTAAATTACGTTAAATTGAACAAAAACTAATCTGTAAAAGTGAACATACGCCGATGGTGATATTCCCAGGTTCGTAGGTTCATCTATCGAACCTTTGGACTCCACTCCTTCGTCCAGACTGTTGCCGTCAATGCTGCTGGGGGGAGACTTGTCAATCAGGTGCTGATCAGCGAAGTCTATTTAAAAGAAAAACACATTTAAGGTATGACCGCTCAACAAGCTTTGAACTCTGTTAAACAAACGTGGCAGTTCTACAGCAAAGGTCCAAGAAGGGGGGTCGTCCCCTGGGACACCCTTCCACCCGTTGGAACACCTCTTGACACTACGCAATGGTTTTTTGACCCAGTAAAATACACGTCGGATCTAGTATCTGGGGCTGAGGGGGTTCTCGAAGTCACCACCCCTCTTTTGTGCGCCCTACCTAACACCATGCATGTCAACAGTTTAACGGCTCCATACTGCTAAACCACAGAAATACATGTTGCTTTTTTCTTGCTTTGTTCCCAAACTACAAGATAAGGGG